ATCACTACACAAACATATGTGCTGCTTTCAACCTCCAGGCAATCAAGATTCTGCTATTTCCTAAAGTCATGATATCTAGTCAATATTTCAGAGCACTCCACAGAACTTAAAATCTTGCAACACAGCATTCCAAGCAATAATTACCAAAAGGTAAGACTAAAAATAATGGTCTTCAACAAACTCAAGTTTCTTGAAGACAGGCATAGTACTTGCCATATACCCTAGAATTGAACCTAACACAAGTAGATGCTCAACAAACAGTGACTTAAATGGGCAGTATTATCACCTATGGAGTCACCAAAGCCAAAAACAAAAGCAGGATTCACTCCTTTTCTTTCCCATAATCCAGAAGTAATCAAGTCCTTTCTTCTACCTCCTAAATTTATCTCATAACCTCTTCTCCATCTGCATTGTCACTATATTCTCTCAGGTTTTTATTTCTCATATGAATTACTGTAATTAATTCTTAATAGATTCCCATATCTAGATTTATCCATCTTAATTAATATCATAAGACCACCAAACTGATCTCTTTTTAAAAGTAAATGAGACAATGTCATTCTCCCAGTTAAAAATACAAGACTGGGGCTGAGGTGGTAGAGTGCTCACCTAGCATGCATGAGGCACTGGGTTTGATCCTCAGCACCACATAAAAATAAAATATTGTGTTGACCTAAAACTAAAAAATAAATACTAAAAAAAATAAAATAAATAAAAATACATGACTGAAATTTTGGGAGGGGAAAAAAATTACTGCCTCATACAATATACAAGCCCATCTACGATCTTGCCTAAATCTCCCTGACATTTTCTCCCTTCCACCCTACTCCATCCACTGTTCTCCAATCATGCTAAACTAATATACTTTTAATTTACAGTGGGGTTACTTTCTGATAAACCTATCATAAGTTAAAAAATACCTTAAATCAAAAATGATCTTAATACAACCAACCTATTGAACATCACAGCCCACCGTAGGGCTAAAATCTAACAAAAAGCCTATTTTATAATAAAGTAATGAAAATCTCACATAATTCACTGAATACTGAAAGTGAAAAACAGAATGGTCAATGTATGTTAAAGTACAATTTCCACTGAATGCTTACCACTTTCACACTACCATAAAGTTGAAAATCATAAGCCAAACCATTATTAGTCAGGCTCCATCTGCACTTGTTCTTTAAATGCTTTGTACAGCTCATGGCTCTTAAGACTTTGAGCATAAGCTCCCTATCAGGAGTGTCCTTCCCCCTTGGCTAAATACTCATCCTTTTAAGACTCAGCTCAGGCACCTTATCTTCTAGAAAGCTTTGAGTGATTTCCATCCCAATTTGGATTAAGCCTCTTGCCTGCCACATGCTCTTATGGCACCTTGTTTTGTGTTTGATATTCTCCAAACAATAGCTCTCAAAATTTAGAAAACATCACAATCACCTGGAAGCCTTATAAAACCTAGACTGCTTGGCTCATCCCCAGTTTGGGATTCAGTTGTTCCAGGGTGGAGCCAACAAGTTTCTAGATAGCTATTGATGCCACGGGTCCAGGAACCACATTTTGAGAATATCCCATCTCTCCCCACCTTCAGGATTTGAAGTGTTTTCTAGATGTTTCCAACTATCCCTTTTACAATTCTAATAATCTTTTTTTGGTTTGTTTGTTTGTGAGTGCTGGGGACTGAACTCAGGGATGCTCTACCACTGAGCTGTATCTCCAGCTCTTTTATTTTTATTTTGAGATAGAATCCTGTTAAGTCACCCAGGCTGGCCTCAAACTTTTGATCCTTCTGCCTTAGCCTCCCAAATTGCTGGGATTACAATCATGGGCCACTACATCCGGCAATCCTAATAGAGCTAGCACAATTTTTTACCTCCTTCAATAAAATTTTCCCTAATTCCCAACTAATTCCCAACTTATCTTTCCTCGATTTTCTATCATGTTTTGTGTGTATTCTTACAAGATTCATCACATGTTAACTTATTTTACAATTAGTGGCATTTATCCAATGTTTTCTACTTAAGTGAGTAGAAAACCTGCCTTAATTATCTTAATATTCTCCACAATGAAAATCACAGTAACCAGTAAACAGCAGACAAAAATCTACCAGTATTTGTTAATACTAATGAGTCCCCCTTGCTTGCCCCAGACTCTAGGCCCATGGTCTGTCTGACTTCCTTATAGCCCCTTACTATCAATGAGAGATGCCTGATTCTTCTAGGCTTATCTGTTGTTCTCCCTAGCTGACCCTTAGTCAGCTTCCTTACCTTTATCCTGAATCATTTTAATTTTCTCATCCACTATGGGACATAATGAGGGGAGAAACTGTCTCCTAATAACTGATGTAAATTTTAATTCTGTGGTCCTAAGACTGGTTGCTTGCCATTATAAAGAAAAAAAAAAAAAGTCATAGCAGACAATAATAAATTTAAGTTCTAGCTACAGAATCATGGAGATAAAGACTATTTTAATGAAAAGTTTAAAAGTACAAAGACATAAAGTCCTTTGTAAAATTTAAAGTTGTTTTAAGAAACAAAACTTAATAGACTGTGTTTATATAAGTATCCAAAACAAAATTCACATTATTTATTCCAACAAAAACAACTTGGTTCAGGGAAAATTGCTAGGAGCTCAGTACTTCAGATTTTTATACGCATATACCGAAACACTCATACTTCTGGGTGCTTAATTCAAATAGGAATGAAGAGAGGGAAAGAATAATGCTCAGGATAAAAAGAAAACTACTTTTAGGGCAGCAATTAAGATATTTGTCAGCAAAAGTCCTTAAGAGATTGAACTAAATCCCTCTTATTTTGTCCTTATTTGAATTATTCAGTTATAGAAATACTATAAAATCTATTACAAAAATATAAGTATGTTCATGATACCAAAAGCAAGAGTTATAATAGAAATTTCCCAAAGAGAGTGAAAATTTTCAGAATTCCATGTTCAATTCATTAGAATTACCAGATCCCTCTCAAGCCTGACTTATTTGAGTGAGTCAATATCCATATGGCAAAATTGAATTATAGAGAGATTATTAGTCTTCACATATCTTGGTTAATGCTATTTCAACAGACCAAAATCCTAAAGTTGGGAAATCACTGTCATCACAAATTATGTAGGTCCTAAAATGGTACCAGGAGGATGGAAGAGAAAAGAGCCAACAGTATACCAGAAAACTTAAGAGGAAGTTGGAAACAGCAAGAAAATAACAACTTGGAGTGAAAACAATATCATCAGGCACATCTTAAAAATACTATAAAAGGTTAGGAAATACTGAATACCAAAAAAAGATAAATTTAAGAGCTAAGGGGTTGGTGATGTAGATGGTGGTAGAGCTTATGCACATTCACTGCAACAAAGATCTTCAAGATCCTGATCTTTCAGTAAAATACATGCATTAGAAGTTCCATTAAAGCACTGCAGTGCAATTCATAACTTCAAAGACTAAGCTAAAAGAAAGACCGTATTCTAGCTCTCATCTTTCCAAACTGTTTTCTGTAATAGCATGAAAAAACAAATAATTTCGTGCTTTGGCTGGGAAAGTTGTCTCTAAACTGTCTCCCCAAACTGGCAGGGGAAAACTTCTATACATATCAAAATCACAAATCATTTATTAAGTCTGTTCCTAATCTGGATTTAAGTATGCTAGTTAAGCATACTTAATCATTCACCCTATATTCTAAATAAATGTTGATTTGCTTAAATATTTTAATTTCCTTTTCTCCCCTCACCATCACCACCAAATTGATTTTCAACTGCAATCAACAGAATTCTTCTCTTCACTAATCCACTCCGTATTCTGAAGTACCTAACTTCTACAAACAGGATTGGAAGACTATACAATTAAAGGTGCAAAGTAATATCCAATATTAGTCTAAAAATCTGACAACTTTTCGAGGGCTTTTTAGAGAAAGTGAACAACCCAGTATCATGTTTAAATAACTGATACATACGGAACAGCACCGAGAATTTCTCCTACTATGTACACACAATTCTTGATTACAAAGAGGAAACTACACGGGCTAAGCGGAGTTAGTAAACCGGTAAAGTAACAGGCTAAAAGGGCGTCGTTGATTTCTTGGCTACAGTGACAGGCGGGAGACACACCCCTAGCGTCGGTCTGAAACACTACAGCAGTGAATTCTACCTAGGGATTAATGTGCGGGTAAGGAAAGATAAATTTAAATCGCCATGATTCAAAAACAACCACCCCAAGAGACAGACGCGGAGGTAACAAAGAAAATGAAGAGCCCTGGGTAGTTAAGAAAATAACAGAAATCCACTATCCCCATTTCTCCAAAACCAAGCTGTCCTGTTTTAATGACTATACACCTTGAACCTTTCCGGTTCGCCAAAGCAGAGGGAGAAGCAGCAACGAAAGAAACCCCCTAGGGTTGCAAACAGCAGCGAGATAAATACTAAAAGGAAAGGTGGGAAGTAAATGGCAGGATTCCTGCCAAGGTTCACTGGTAGAAAATGGGGAGTGAGTGGGAGAAACAGAAGCTCTAGAGAGAAAGTGGGTCTTACATAAAGCGCCATTTGCCACATAGTTTCATTTCCATAGGATTTCGGAATACCCTCCAACTTGAGTGAGTGAGTCTGGGGGCGGAAGGGGGGACTCCACGTGGAGGGGGGCTGGGAAAGGAGTAACACGCAGCGACGAGGCTGTCGGCGAGGGCGGGGGGCGACGCGGGTCGAGGCCGGGGCGGGATCCCGGCGAGCTCGGGTGGGGCGGCCGAGGGGCGACCGGAGGTCCCGGAGGCGGGCGCGGAGGCCCTGCCGTAGCGCCGGGCCGGCCGCCGTCCTGTCAAGCAGGCGGTCCGCCGCCCCCGCCGGCCGCCAACGTACCCGGGCAGTGAAGGCACCCGCGGGGCACCGGTGGGGCCCGGGTCTCTCGAATTTTCCACCGGGGGAGGCCGACCAGGGTCGTCGGGGATCTCCCCCGAACCTGGCAACGGCGGGCGGGGACGCATAGTGCAGGGGGGAAGCCAAGGTCTCACCATTTTGCTCGGCGGGTCGGCGGCTCACTCGCGCGGTGAAGAGTCTGCTCTAACGAGCTCCGCAGGAAGCGGCGGCGGCAGCGGCCCAGCTGCGGCCCTCGGGACGCCCGGGGAGGGGGTGCGGGCTGGGGGAGGGAGGCGGCGCCGCGGGGCCCGCGCCGGCCGGGTGACTGTGCACGCGAGAGAGCGGGCAGGGCGGGGGAAAGAAATTAAGGTCGAGATTCAGAGAGCGAGCGCGGGAGGAGAGACGGCGGGAGGGAAGCGAGGCGGAAAGGCGGAGAGGAGGGGGGAAAGGGGCCGAGAGGGCCGGGCGGCTCGGGGACTGCAGCCTTACGCTCGCGCCGGAGCCGTGACGGACTCACTGCAGTGGCTCGCGCTGACCCGCAACCTCAAGGCACGAAAAAGGGGGAGGGCAGGAGAGGGAGGGGAGAGCGGAGCGCAGCAGCGCGCGGGGCGGAGGGCGGGGGCGCGCGGGGCCGGCGGCGGGGGTGGAGCTTCCGCGAGCGCCGCACATCCGGGAACCCGCGCTCCCGACTCGGCGGCTGCAGCCGCGGCACTCTGGCGAGCTCTGGTTGGGGAGTGCGGAGCGCGCGGACCACGTTCGCCCTCCGCCCGTCGCCCCTTGCGTGCGGGGCGGGTGGGGGAAGGCTAGGGGCGGGGGCGCAGACGTCCGTGACGTCGTGTGGCGGATCCCTTCCTGTCATGTGGCTGGAGGCGGGCGGGGAGGAAGGTAGGGCCGGGAGGAGGAGGAAATGCGAGGGTGCCCCGGGAGGGAGGAAACGCGAAGGGGTGAGCGGGCAGAGAGCGGAGGGGGCACCTGGGCCCACGAGTGGGAGCCTCATGGGGGAGGGGGAGCAACCGAGCGGCCGTAAGGTGTCAGAACCACCCAGGCGCCGCACCAAAAAAGAGGAAAAAAAGCCAAGTCCTGGGGCTAGAGGAAATCAAAGGTATCTTTGCATCTGCGTACCGACTTGGACCGACTACAGAATTGCAGGGCGCATCTGGACTGTCGTCACTCCAGTGCAGCACCCTCAGGACCACGCTATAGTATAAACTGGAGGCCAGCAGCGCAGTTGGAAAGCAAAGCTGGCCGCAGCTTAAGGTGTGGGGAGCCAGTGAACAAGAGTGGCTGCCTCCCACTCGCGCAAAGAATTTCCCACCCATCTCTAATTTCTGTAAACTTTCCAGGTTGTCCTTTGGCAGGGTGCAGCCGTGTTTGTTTTTTGAGAAATACTCCAAGGCAGATTGCCCACTTAATCTCTTTAGTAAAGCTATATCCATTCTGGTGGCAGGAAATTCCGACTACAATAGGAAAAGAAGTTCTGAAAAGCATAAGGAGAAAAGTTATGTTCGAGACAAAAAAAGAAAACTGTCAAGAGAGGTGTGATGAGGATAACGAAAAGAAAACATTTTGCAAATATTTTAACCAATTATTCCTGTTTAAGTCTTGATATGCAAGCAGGCATGTGTGTGTGTGTGTGTGTGTGTATCTCAGCAGACAGAATATTTTCTGAGAGAATAGAACTTATTTATTAAAGGATTTATTAAGCCTTTGGGTAGTTTTGTAAAAAGTTAGAATACTGTTTTTAAATACAGTCTGTTAATAGGGGAACTTTATTCTTTTTCTGTGCTAATTATTTTTTCTATATGATAAGCACCTGTTTTCTTATAAAGGCGCTGTGTGTGTTTGTGTGTGTGTATGTGTATATGTCTGTCTGTCTCCCTACTCCCACCCCTCAGCTTCTTTGGTTCTGTGTCAGGCTGAAGGAAGAAAAGTAATTAGACATACAAGTTGTATCACACAGTGATTCTATCAAGGAAAGGCCAAGAAGTAACACTGTTACTTCCACCATTTGATCTGGGTTTTTTGAGTTAAATGTGTATAAAATTAAGATATACTTTTTTATGTAAAAAAAAATCCCTTTCTCATCTCTGCTTCTTAGAGATATTGTTATTGCATTTTTTATGTCCCTTGGACACCTTCCATGAAAATCAAATTATTTTGGCCAAACACTAAATACTAAGGAGTTCGAGCTATATAGAATGCAGTAGACTTAAGTTAACACACAATTTTATTATGTTTGTGGCATATTAGACTATAATCATTCAGCAAATACCTATTGAGAACCTCAATCAGAAATTAGAGAGCTGTGAAAGATTGGTTAGTCTCTTGTTACTGGCCAAAACCAGAAATAAGGCTAATCTCCTATTCTTCCTGCAAATCCCAAAGTTTACCACTTAACATTCTCTCATGGATATGAAACACAGGCATATAGCAAGTGATATCTCTGACCTGAGATGAATTATTTTGAATTCAGTGAGAAATAAGTCCAAAATGCAAATTTAATACCCAGGTCCACACCCAACACACACATAGTCCTGCTAAAAGCACATACATTTTTGTTTAAAAAAATAGGCAAATTAACAAGCAGTAAACCTCATATTTTTGTGGGTAATGTTTCCTAGAAATGTTAGCAACCAAAAATGATTATCAGAAAATGCTACGTCAGATAAGTTGGAGGGAAAGATACTAAAAACAGATACCAGGTTAAAAGAATCATAACACGTAGGCATGGCACGTGGTAATAAGAAATACCAATGACAGAGGAAAGAAGGGATGAATATGAAAGACATGAAACAAAATGGACTGGCAATGCAGCTTAGTGGATGTGGAGAGATAAAAGATAACTAGTTTCAGTTTGGGTGATATGATTGAGAGGATAAGAGGAGTCAGGAGAAGTTTGGTTTTAAAGATGTAAAGTTTTGAGTTAGGGATATAACTCAGTGGCATAGTGTGTGTTTAGCACGTGTTCAATCCCCAGCACCCCAAATTTTTTTTTCAAGTTTTGATGAGTTATCTCAGTAGAAATGTTGAAATAGAAGCTGGATGTGAACATTAGAATAAAATAGAGCTGTCAAAGTCAACTTTGAAACAGAAATTGAAACATATTTTCAACTTTTTCCTTATTTAGTGATGGGGTAAGGGGACCCCAAGATAGTAGTATAGTTGCAAGGGAGAAAGAAAATTAAGGGAAAAGTTTTAAGAAAGAGAAAAGAGTGTTTACGGTCATATTTGACCATTAGCAACCTCAGACTTTGGTGTCTTCACAATTATTTTTAAGAAGGTATAAATGAGCCAGGCATGGTGGCACACATGTAATCCCAGCTTCTCAGGAGTTTCTGGAGCAGGAAGATTGCAAGTTTGAGGCCAGCATCTGCGATTTAGCAAGACCTTGTCTCAAAAGATAAAAAATAACCAGGTGCAGTGTTGTGTTCCTGTAATTGCAGTGACTCCAGAGGCTGAGGCAGGAGGATCTCAAGTTTGAAACCAGCCTCAGTACTTTAATGAGGCCCTAAGCAAATTAGGAAGACCCTGCCTCAAAATAAAAATAAAAAGGGCTGGGGATGTGGCTCAATGATAAAGCACCCTGAGTTCAATCCTCAATATCAAAATAAATAAATAAAATATTTGAAGGGCCAAAGATGTACCTGAGTGGTAGAGTGCCCCTGGGTTCTAACCCCAGAAAGAAAAGAAAAAAAGTTTTAAATGCCACAGAATATTATGTGATTTTTATATCTTCTCAGTCATAGGGATATCCAAATTACTGCTTTATTCTTTAATGACTTACCACTGTCATATATTTTATATAACATTTAAGGGCTACAGAAGAAACAAATCACTGTTCCTGTTCTTTATGGTATTCCAGTACATCATTCCTCCCAAATGTCCATTTTTTTTTCATGATTATATTTTCTAATGTTAACTACAAACCATGCTTGATTTTAATACTCATACATAGGAAAACAATGCCAATGAAAAACATTAATCAATTAAAACCACATGAAAGCAATTCCTTTTGAGTACATACATATTGTTAACACAGATTTAGAGGAAACATCAACTCCCTTCCTAGATAGAATGTCCTAGCTCAAGAATCCCAGATTTTAAAATACTTTTTACCTTTGGTCACCTAGTGTCATCCCACAAAATTCCTTTGTGAGTGGGTGCTTAGGTTGCTTGGAGAATAGATCGCCTGCCTTCCCGGAATCCTTTTTTGTAGTGAGGAGAAAGCATGGATGAAAACTCCCTGCTTCAGGGCGTGATCAAGGAAAGGTTCCCTGGCACCTGAATTGGCAGAGAAATGGTGCCATTCCCTTCTTGCTAAGTAGCAGAGTTTTGTGCTACAAATTCTAAATTCCATCTTGGAAACTCATTTCTCCATAGAAACCATTTCATGAAGAATCCTATAAACAATGGCCTTCCTAGAAAAGCCTGCCTAAATTATAATGTAACTGAAATTCTGTGTATTTGCTATTGAATGAACATAATAGTAGAAAACAATACTCTTAAAAATATTTATCTTTATAAGTAGAAAACATATCCCAAGTACAGGATGGAATTTTTTCTTCATTTTAAGCATAACCACTTTTAAAATTTATGCAACTTTTCCAATTCCACAAAAGAATAGTATTGAATTTGTTCAAAATAAAACCTCTATCACTTACTTAAGTGAAACATGAATTAGAACAAATTTTGTTGACTTTTGGTGTTATTATTTTTGTGGTGCTGGGAATCAAACCCAGGGTCTTACATATGCCAGGCAAGCACTCTGCCATTGAGCTATATCCCTAGCCTTTGTTTTGTCCAGTTTTTGAGACAGAATCTCACTATGTTGCCCAGGCTGTTCTCAAATTTGACAAAAGTGGTCTTCTGGCCTCAGTCTCCAGAGTAGCTGGAACTATAGGTGCCACCATACCGGGCAGGAAAGCTTTTAAATTAGGAAAACTTTGGGGGAAAAAATAAATTGTGTAAGTTGTTTCTATATTAAACACTAGGCCCAAAAGAAAAGGGATTGGGGTGGGGGGGGGACAGTTCCTAAGATTTATTCCCAAACCTCTTACATCCACATCTAATGTGTGTTGGAGGGGGAAAAAAAACAGTGTTTTTAAATGCAGTTTGTTAACACTCTTTATATAATAAACTATCCTCTTTTGTGCTAATTATTTTTCCACATAGGACTATGTTACAACTGAGTAATTATCTGCATAAAGATGACTATTAAATTCATAAAATAGAGGCCAGAGAGCAGAGAAGCAATAGAACCAGGCCCCAAACAGAAAGAACTAAAAGTGGGCTACAATGTAGCTCCATGACAAAGCACTTGCCTTGCAATCGTGAAGCCTTCCCTAGGTTCAATTCCCAGTTTTAAAAGGAAAAAAGAAAAGCCAAAAAAAAAACTAACCCACCAAAAAAAGAAAGAACTAAAGGTAATGTCTCCATATAAGTGTAGTAAGGAGAAAGGAATAATAGAAAGATGATGGGCTACCAGAAGTGCAGAAGACCGAGCAGTGAAGCCTGCAAGCTGAAGAAGAGTTCAAGATCAAAGGGAACAGTGCTGCTGAGTGGTCAGTCCAACAGTGTGGTCAAAGAGGACCAA